CAGTGTCAGATTTATGCTTTATTGTTGTCTCGATTGCCTTGAATAGCAGTAGATTTGCATATCAGTGAGTTTGAGGCAGAAAACTGGAATATGACATTAAGCTCTGTGATTTCTTCACTGATCCTCTGACTTTGCCAAAGACGTGTGAGAAAATAAATGGTCAATATGAGGTTTAAAAAGCTTTTATTCACCTGCCTTTGCAAAAAGATGATGGGGAAGAAAGCTATGAGAGTTAGCTATACATGAAATAGAAAGGTGTGATGAAATTTTACAAGGTGCAATGCATAAAGATGGAGTCATCTGTGATACTTTTGGTGTTGCTGTACAAGAAAAACTAAGTGAAGAATTGTCATTTCTTGTCAAATTCCAAGCAAGTCATCACTTCTTTTATTTTTGATTAACTTTTCTGCAAATCAATGAGCCTATTGTTTCATTCGCACTTCTATTCATTCATATCAGTGTAGTGTGGCTTTGTACAAGCAGATGTATACAAAATAAGCTCAATAAGAACTCCATAACTTTTTAAAGTATGCAAGAAATATTTTTCTCTTGATAACAACACCTCCACCCTGCTTATTTCGCTATTTCAGTCTAATGCTCACGCTTTAGAGGTGCTAAAAGTTCAGTGTTTTTCATCATGTTTTACTGTAAATGGCTCAGCAGCACAAAGTTTTTGCTGGCGTAGTACCTGACCTCCACATTTGATGCTATAAGTGACTGTCATTTTAGCTTGATAGCTTGACATACTGGGTGAGTGTACTGGGTTCTGGGTTGGAGTGGTTCTGTGGCTTATAAATTAACCTCCTCGTCTGCGTCTCTTGCCTGCTGTGCGGCACAAGGTTCTGTTTCTGGCACTTTACAGTTTCTTGTATATCCACTCCCTCTTCAGCTCATTTTAAGCTTTTTAAAGGTCTTTTATTATCACTGCTACACAGATGACGTTCAGTTATATACCTCTTTTAAGCCCCAAGATGTTTTAAAATGACAAATTCTGCATAGTTTATAATAGACTCTATTAAAAGATGGGTGGCTGACAGTATTCTCCAACTTAATAATGAGAGGTTACAAACAGAAGTCCTTGTTTGTGTTCACCAACACCAGGTTTCCTCGCCACTTTTCCTAAATCTTCTATCAGGAACCGTTTTAAAAAATAGTTTGGGACTTTATTTTAGCCTTTATTGTATAGGACAGGGACCCAGCAGGGCCCTGGGGTCATTGGTTCAGGCCCTTCTTGCTGTGCAGCATAACTAGGAGCTTTTGCAGTGGTCCCCAGATTCTGGAGCTCTTCCCTACTGAGCCTGAGATCTGTGGACTCAGTGGTTTAAAAAGCAGCTAAATGCTCGTCTTTGTCACCTTGTTTTTCAGAAACGTTTTGTCTGTATGTTTTTAGTATCTTGTTGTGATTCACATTGTAATTTTTATCCTGAAAGGTGCTATATAAGTAAAGTTTTATTCTATGTTGTTCTTTTAAAAGGGGTCAGGTGGTCTCCAGGTCAGAGTTCAATTTTTTATTTTTATTTATTTATTTTTGCACAGAGCCCAAAACAAGAGGGGACATTCAACTCAATGGTAAAAAAAATAAAATAAAGACAAAAAAAATCCCAAAGTTGTTTATTCACAATCTGATCTGTACTGTCCCAACGTCTCATATTACCTGTTATCTTACTTATATTTGTGGGATTCTTTGATCCAAAAAGGTTGTTGCACTTTAAAAACTCTTCAAGACTAATTTGCAAACAAATATTGGAAGTTTAGGACGATCATCTCACAGAGACCGCTGCAACAATCTAGTCTCACCAACAGCAAGCGAAAATGAGCCAAAACTAAATTCTAGCAAAGATCAAAATGCATGTGTGTTGGAAGATTTGTTTGTATGATGTGTCAGGTGCCAGCGGTTATAATAACCATGACAAAGTAGACATAGCATGGGAAAAACCTAGCAGAGTTGCAGATGACTTTTTAAGTATTGTCATTCTGCAGTTTACCATCAAACTTTATATTCTAACCAAGTTTATTAGGCTCATACGATGTGACTTGCAATAAATTACATGACCGATGAAATCTCACAGGATTTAGCTGTAGGTGCCTAAAAAGACTCAAAACAACTAAAAGTCTTTCTCTTTTAGAATAAAAGATAAAGGAACCTTTTATGTTTTTAAATGAATTTAAGCCTGAATGGCTGTTTGTACTGTTATGCTCAGGCTTTGCTTGGATCCTGGGATTTTGGTGAGTAGCCTAATGAGCAACTCTCCTGCCATCTGGTGGTGGCAAACTGAAGTCTTCAAACTCTTTATAACCTTTTGGCTCCACACGTAGAAGATGTCTGGGCATGTGAGCCTACTGTAACTAATCAAACTATTGTTATTAGTGTTTACAGGAGTTTAGTGCCCTCGGCTTTGCGTGACTGCAGGCCTGCTCATGCGCCTGCAGGGACAGGTGGAGTCCCAACACCCACAAGTCATCCTGATAATTTTGTTTGTGTTTTTGTCTCTCTGAGAACCAGTTTTAATGTGACACAGAGTGGCAGCAGTTCACCCAGGCCTTAATTTGTTGCAGTGCTTCTTAAGAAGGCTATGTCAAAGCTGCGAGTTAGCTCTTATGCTGTTAATGTTCATTTAACACCACAAAGTGCAAAATGAGAATAATAAAAGGTCAGCTCCAATCACCACAAAGCCAGTAGACAGATTTGTGCTGAATCCGAGCTATTTGGCATTTCTGGCTCTATTATGGGAAAAGTGTTGTTTGCCAATTCTGGCACAAAAATATTGAGCTGAGCCAGGCTTTGGTTGTGACAAGTTTTATGTGGGCCATGTGCCACGATATACCTGACAGTTGGCTCATGCAGCAGGGCCTGTGGTTGACTTGAGGCAGGCTTTCAGCCCACTCAACCTTCACTCAGCCTGAGTTAACGCTGTCAGTGAACTGGCTTAGTAGAAGACTGTAAATATGGTGCACACGTGGGCACAGCATTTGTTGCTGAATGGGCAATTTGGGGAAATTCTAATGCAAACTCAGGAAAATGGTGACCTCTCAACAGCAACAATGACTCGTATATCACAAAGTATCTTATTTCAGTAAGTTTCTATTTCATATTTATTCTGCATAGTTTAGTTCAGAGTGGAGATACATGCTTGCAATATTTAATATTAGTGTTGCTGTATATTGTATCATTTTGGACCACCCACCCTGTTGTAAATATGTTTAATGACAGAGCTGAAAAAGTGCATCTTAAATTAAATACACAAGGTCTCATATGAGGGTGGATAACAAGTCAAATAAGAATGAAGAAAAGGAAACTGTCTACTTTTGTATCAGTGATTCAAGGACTGTAGTGTCTTTATTCTTTTCCCATCTTTAAACCTTTCCCTTGCAAACACCCATGTCAGTATAAGTGCAGTAAAAATGCAGCGGTGCCTCTTCGTAATGGAAACTTTTAACATTCTTCTCATCTCTGTGCCAAGCTGACCTGGCTGAATGGGAGGCTCCATAGTATCTCATTTTGATTCCCTGTAATCCTTCAATGCAACATGTAATCGACTTGTTACAGCTGGCTTGTAAGGCCCTAACACATAAATGACAGCTACTGCTTGCCTGATGAACATCACTTAGTAACAAAAAAACAACAACACGCAACGAAAGAACAGAAGTCTAGTGCGCAGACGTAATGAGATGAGAGACACCAAGGAAGGGCAGAGCTAAAGAGAAAGCCACATAATTAGCCACAACCCTCCTTTATCATCAGAGGGCAACACCAAGAACTCAAATTGCAGAGATCATAACCAAATGCACAAACACACTCGCACAAAATAGCAGTGCCTGTGAACTGTAACAATCTCTACTATTTATCTTTTGCATTGAATCTTCTGTGTGCGACCTGTGAACTTGTAAATAACATGCCCATAAATGATTCTGTGCTTGTTGTTCTTCTTGTTCTCTTTTTGAGAACCCCTCAACCCATTTGTGTGTAAAATCAATTTATTTTAAATTTCTGTGACACCTTTCTCCCTTTTCATTAACAAGCTGCGTCTAAGATACGTCACTTCACTGACTACCTCCTCAAAAGTATTAAAAAAACCCTGAAGAGGTAGAAAGAAGTCAGCTTGGCAAACCTATGGATCCACTTCTCATCTCTGCTTGAAGCATAGCACATACAAATGCTTTCGGTCCAGCGCAGCCACAAAGGCTTTCTGTGCTCGTTTTACTAGTTTCTGTTTTGCTTGTTTGTGTTTTCAAACTGGTAGGCTGTCGTTTAGAAGGTCGAACGTAAGAAGAAGCCAGCAGAGGGTGCTAATCTGAATCAGCAGAGACCAGAGAGGCACTGTGGCAAAGCTGTGTTAAGATTGTGATTGAAAGCAGCTCATATGCTGATTTTTTTTCTTAATCTCAGACTACATCTGTATTTAACCACACCTGAAAACTCTTATTTAATTTAGTTAAACTGCCATCATGTGCATGTTAAGCTATTCAGCATGTCAGATAGTGATGAGCAATTTGAGTCTGGAGTGCATGCGTCTTCATGGTCTGTGGTTTTCCCATCGCATGCAATAAGTGTACACACAGTGAGGTACCGATACTTTCATCACTGACAGACGACAAACCCATTTGGTTAATTTGCTGGAAGGAAGAACAAAGCAAATATTAATTTCTTGAATTTCTAACTGAACTACTGGATCTTTTTGGTGTGATGAGACTTCTTCTTATGAATGTATAATAAATATATCAGCTGCTCCAAACAAAGCTCACCCAAACAATAGTTATTATCAGTCATCTGTGCAGTTTGAATGGGTTTGCTGTCTAATTGCTGCACTTTCACTGTAGCTTTTGTGGACTAATTAGCAGGCAAATCAGTTAAAATAAGACAAATCTAGTCTTATTTTATTTCTAGTCTAATTTGTAAACATGAATCACTAACTACTGGTGGATTAAAATAAAAGACGTGAATGGATTGGGGCGATTTGTTGAGTTTGTGTCAGACAAAGATGAAAGAAAAATTCCAGCAGTTGCTTTTTGAGAATTTTTTATTAAATTTACTCTTCATGGGCTCATAATTTAGCACCAATAATTTTATTTTTGAATAATAATAGAGTCAGTCTCAAGAGAACACTGTTGTTATTCAAACCCTGCACACCATGTCTGCCATGTCCACAATCAAATTATTCAAATCAAACTCATAGACAGACTCACCTGAGCAGTACATGCATAAAAAAGTAGCAACATTTGTTACAAAAATCCATCTTTTTTTTTCTTTGTTTTAATATTGCTTTGAAGTCAGAAACTCCAAATCAAATTTCATGACTGAAATGTGAACTGAATTGAAATGCCTTCAGATTAAAAAAACAAAACAAATCCATAACATTTAATTAATCAATTTAAAAAAAGCTTATAAGGAATAACAAAGTAAACAACAACCAGAGCCATGTCGTTTTTAAGCTGGGAGCATGGCTTATCCTGGGGTCCTGGCAGGCTTTGGCATTGTTATCAGGCTTCAGGTTCGTGGGGTTTCCCTCAAAATGGACCGGCACACACTCGTTGTCCAACACTTCACAGGCCAGGATCAGGTGTTTGGTTTCCTTTAGGACACTTTTGATACCACAGGTGTCCTTAACACTTCTCACTGTGACAAAGGTGAAAGGCTGCTGGCTGATGCACAGGTTATCCTTGTACGTCTTCCCTCCATTCTTTGAGCAGACGGCCTTCACCCTCTTCAGTTCCTTTGGATCAATGAAGGACTGTGTGGGTCTGCTACAGTCCCCGATATTCTTAATGTAACTAAACCACTCATTTTGATCAAGGGTCGTAGGAGTTCCACTGCGAACGTGGCGATCCATGAAGGTTTTGAAGCCTTTTTTCCAAGTGGAGAGCTGGCAGGGAGCATCGCTTACGGCAACAGTTTGATGTCCCAGAAAAAGACAGACGGCAAGCGAGAGGTAAGTCCTGGGAGCAGCCATTACCTAGCGGTCCTGCAGAAAGCGAGAAGAGTTATAACGGAGCTATAAAGAAGTCGTGAACAAACACTTTACAGCTTTTAGCTGAACAGTACATAAAAAGCAGCTGAATTAGCGACAAAGCCACAGCTGACTGTCTGTGCCGTTTTTAAAACATGAAAACGGGAGCAGAAGTAGAAAACCGCTGCTTATTTGAGACAACTTCCTACCTTTTGCCAGCTGCTGGTTCTTCTGTGAGATATAGAAGTGAATGTAGAGCTCCAGATGTGAGACGACTGCGCTGTCTTTCAGTTCTCTTCCTGTGCCGTAGGAGTAGGAGTGGCCTGAACTTGTGCATTACATAAGGCCGACCACATGGCTATGCTTCAGAGCAGTGATTATGTGGAGAGGAAGGCGATCCAGTGACTGCTATAAATACTAAAGGTCCAGTGAGCTATTTTGGCTACTCACTGTGTGAGTCTGCTGCATTGAAGGGCTGCTTTTTGTAACACGTTAATTTAATTATGCAGATTATTATCATGTTTCAACCGATACATCACTGTCTCTGTTTTGATAGCCTAGCCTATGT